CACTGAAAGAAAATTCCCAGGTCAGAAACACGGGGTTTGTCATGGTTTCCCCTTTCTGAGGTGTCAACAATGGGCCAATGTTGGTTTGGATCTACTAAAGAGGTCACTCACTGAATGAGTTAGAATAATGGTCTGTTTTTACTTCATTCTCTTGGAGGCTTGGAGACGGAGGATTGTGGCCAGTACAACACGCACGTTCACTTCATTCACCGGTAGATGAGATGAGAAAAAATCGCATCACTCAGTGACTACGAGACCGCGTTTGGAAGGCAGAATGACAGATGATCCAGATTGATTTTGTTCGGGCAGAATGTGTACGCATATTGAGTTCAGTGCTCTCACAGGTAAGATTCACAGCCCCCATCACCTTGGGTTTTGCTGAATGAGTATTCAGAAAATGCACACACACACACACACACACACACACACACACACACACACACACACATTGTGAGACGTACTCGATGTTCAAAACTGACTGCTTTAAATCCACAACCAAAAGGTGCTCACATCACACCTGCCAGTTTGACGTACTCCACGAATGCAGCGACGATCAGCACAAATACCAAAATGTTGTCATGATAGAAGTATTACACCAAGTTATTGTGATGGGCCAGGTTCTGAGATAACGTCCCCCAAGGAGTTACGTGTTACAGTTTCTGGACAGCTAACCACAAGCCGACGGTATCGATCGTCCGATTTGAACAGAAAATGCGTGCTGAAGAAAATACAGGTAGGTGATTGATAAAGGATCTATTTGACCAATGATATTGTGTTGTGCACAGTATTTAATTCCAACAAACGAATCGCAACATCCCGCATCTCTGGGGACGAGAGATTTCGGATTCCGATTTTTACTTGTGACCGTGACTCTTGATTCGCGATTTTTTGTTTACTTCGATTACCGCAGCTATGATTATGTAAGAATTCAATAAGAACAATCTTTTTACAATCGCATTCAACACTGAGTATTGTCCCAGACAATCCATGTCTCAAGCAATATTCGGTTTGGATACTATTCGATTCCTTCATATATGATTAGCAACGTGTCAACTGTTGCCAGTAGTTTTGCATTGCAATTTCGTAACAACGGTTTGAAAGAGGAAGCAAGATCAATTATCTGTTTGGTTGTCATGAGGTGTTTTACCTTTAACGGGCGATCACCTTCTGAACGATGCGCACCAAAAGTCAAAGCCAGCTCGGAACCGTACATTCTCCACTGCTCAACTTCGACTTATTGCCTATACTCGTGGAATCGATTTGAACAAGCGTGTACATGGTTGGCAATCCAGTTCTGTCTCACATACTACATTAGCAGTTCACCTGCCGTTGCGGTGACGCATATACCTAGACAGAACCAACCGTCAATTATTACAGCGGCTGGCCGAACACATTCCAAAATGTTTGGTGAAGTCGATGACGCAACCCACACTCAGTAATCCGGCGGTCACCCGTGACCCGGAGTCATCAATTGCAAAACACACCACGTGACAACCAAACACATCATTGATCCCGCTTCCTCTTCCGTCATATTTAATAAACTCCCGATAGCGGAGAGAATTTCCAGACAACGCCAGTCCTAACAGTCCTAACAGTTCCAACACGATAGCAAGTCTGTTCCCTGGACTTAAACCAGCAGAGAATAACGTCCCATCTAAAGTTTCGCTTTAGATAAGATAGTCCGATACGCATTGAAAAGCCGTACACAAAAAAATTCACGAACCAACTTTGGTGATTGTGATGTTTCGCGAAATTGGTAATCGAGACGGATAAACCGGTTTTCAGCCCAAAATGCAATTTGTCCAGCTCGTATCATGTCTGTTTGCAAATAAATGCAGTTTACAGCTCATTTTGAACTGTTAATTGGCTTATCTCTCGATGCTGGGTTCCCTACAGCTTTCAAACAAGATTCCGTAATCAATTTGTTTTAGCAATCCGACCGAAGATAGTGCTAATGGTCACACCATTCGTTAAATACCACCTACACACGGTAACCCGCGTTACATAATTTCTAAGGGGTCAAGCATATCGAAAACCACAGCACAAGGGTTCATGGACGCTTGCAAACTTGAAAAACTAACGCGCGCACACACACACACACACGATCGTACCGCAAAAACGCAAATCAGGATAGAAGACAACAGGGCATCCAGCGTGCTCTCGACACGATGTCCAGCAATTGCAGCTGAGCTTACTAACCCCAATCAGTTTTGCAAAACAAGAGTTTTTTTTTTTAGGACAGGATAGGATAGATCATGGTTAGTCGAAATCGCATAAAATGAAACTGATAATTTTCGGTCGATGGTGATGGGGGCCGGAGAGTGGGATAAACTCCCCGGCACAGACATACATACATGGTTGAATGATGCCAGAAGTGGGCGAAAAGACTTGAGTAGCTCGATCAAGCACAGGGAAATGGCACAATGCAACAACATAGATAATCTGTCATTGGCGGATGGGCAAGCATGACTATTGAGCAGTGGACAGAGTACCGGTTTTGTATGTATGCACGTGATTTCGGGAAGGACAGGTGCAATGGTAACTTGGGACTCGTTCAAAAGAAACAGGCGGGCGACCATAAACTGGATATCTGGGCAGCCGGGGGGGGGGAGAGGATGGATTCGCTCGATGGATCAGAGGACCGTATTGGCGAAAATGCACACAGAAATCGAGCTAGTTGGAGAGACCGAACGGCGAAAAAAACATGGGGCTTAGAGACAGGACAGAGGAACAACTCAGGGAGTTGTGATCAAATTGACGAAAAGTATGGGGCAAGAGAAACCGGGGCACAAGAGCGAGAAGT